CAGTTCGAGGGCAAGTTCTCCATCTGTCCCATACGTCAGGGATCGGATGCCTTTGCGATATAACGACGAAGCAAGGTACTCGTAATCTTCCCTCTCCTTGGTGACACTTGTCATCATAGCAGCCAGAGTTATTGGGTGCTTATTAGGCTTGTTTCGGTAGACAAACATTGGATGAGGAAACGTCAGAGTTGTAACATAGAATGGACCCATGTTATAAGTCATGTCTATCCCAATTTGGCTTTTGGGCTTCTCGCCAGAACAATACCTCTTCATCCACATCATCTGGTTGTCGGTCATAGCAAAGGTATTTGGGGCCATAAACTTATCTCCTCGCTTTGATTTCACTCCAAAGGAGACGTCCCAAAGGAAGTCATCATGCTGCATTAAATTCATGGGTTGACAAAATCTGGTCGGCGTGGTGGGCCAGTGTTCCGACTCTTTTTCCGCCCTTCCACATTTCGGCAAGCGTTGTATACCTGCTCTCTATTACGGATTATGTCCGCTGGTGAACTCACGTTGAGAACACCTCCAGCTTCCTCCTCTATGGCGCTGATAATATGGTTTGGTGTCTCACTTGCTTGAGCTACGGCTTTCGCTTTCCGTATCACACTTAGTTTGGTACGATAATACGGCTCACTTTTCTTGTGGCAGTTACCCTGCGCTTTTAAGGATAGCGAACTCGCATCCGGTGGAGCTTTGTACTGCCCAACAGCATACCTTGCAAGCACGCCCTCAGTTTCCACTTTGGCTACTATTCGACAAAACTCTTTTGAAGTATGGTGCCAACTGTACTGCCTTCGCACTTTGTAAACCTGCCCATCAACACTACACTCTTCTGGATGAGCTGTTTTCAAGCTCTCAATAGCGCCATTTTCCCGTAAAACAGCCCTGACTATATCACATGGGGGATGAATGCTTCTTATAACCGCCATTGTCATCTGCAGTCAAATCGCGATGGTCTACAGAATTCTTTATGTCAATCACAAAGACAACATTTTCTCGCACTGCCCGAGGTACTGTGTAGCAAATCCGGCTTGATGGTACTTTCTCGCCAACACACGCTTCCAAGATTTCCGAAATGTTCAAACCTCTCTTGCCTCTACGAAATACAGGGCAACCATTTACATTTTCTGGTACAAAAAAAACACAGTAGATATAAAATATGGAAACTAAGACGGCGCTGTGTATCACTTCAAAACGTAGATTGGGGATAACGAAATTATAATAACATGGCTTTCTTCAAGGAAGATCTGCAATGCACCTCATAATCCTTAAGTGTTTTTATTTACTCTACGCAGGTTTAAGTTCAAGATTGGGAAACTGCAATGGGAGCGCTCTTCTGTTCAACTTCACCGACCGAAAGAAAAAAAAAACTATTCGACCACAACAAACTATCGCAAAATTGACTTTCATCATGGTCTTTGCACCCCATCCCCCAGCGTTGTTGTTGTTGTTGGTTCTATCTCTTTTAGTGAGGGTGTTTTTACCATGCGAGTCCAACGTGAGGTCTATGAACGAGTTCATAAGATGATATAGACACTTACGTGGCATGGACTCATCATCATCATCATGTTCTCAAAGAGAAGCAGCTTCACGGGTCCTTTTTCGCGACTTGGTGAGCAATTTCTAAAAAGGAAGAGGTAACATCACCTCACGATTTCTCCGATGTGAAGTTCACCACAGGTACAAATAATAATAATACTAATAATAATAATAATAATAATAATAATAATAGTAATTTTTATTTTTAGATTTTTTTATTTTTTCATACACTTTAAAGTTAGATTCCGGGTTGTAGGAAGTTACTGAAGAAAGGTTATTTCTCGCATTAAAAAAAAATAGGAGTAATGATAATAACAATAATAATAATAATTTTTCGTATTAATTTTATTTCACAAAATCAGTTAAATAGTAATAGTAATAATAGTAATAATAATAATGATGATGACAATAATAACAATAATAATAACTAAAACTTAGATAGCGCAATTTTCCATGACGTACATGATCAAATGCGCTTTACAATTAAATAAAATGATTCAAGATAGGCTGAATATACAAGTAATTAAGATAGATAAAATTATCCGTTGAGCAATAACAATTTACAGCGAATAATAACAAATAAAAAGCCTGTTTAAAAAAATATGCTTTAAGATAGCACTTAAAACTTGAAAGCGAGTCAAGACAGGATATGCTATTCGGTAGATAAACTGAATCATGGACTCATGCCTTTTTTTGCTTCTTTGGCTTGTTTCTTGACGGCGATTCATCATCATCGTCAGAGGTAATAGAAATGACAAGTTTTGGTGTCGTGAGTTTGCTGAGAGCTTTGGTCACCCGGAAAGCCACGTCTTTCACCTTCTCTAAGACTCCCACTCGCACTTCTTTCCTTTCTGCACGGCTCGTAGATTTTCCTTTGACAAATTTCTTAATTCTCCCTTTCCAGAACCACTCTCATCTTCATTGACCACTTCAGTAACACTGTCTCCGCTGTCCTCTTTCTCTGGGGGCACACCATCTTCGCTGTCTTCTTTCTCCTGGGGCACACCATTGTACTCTCCTTCCTCGCCTGACTCATTTGGGACACACCCATCCAAACTCGCGAGGGCACGCCTTATAGAGTAAAGGGAGTCAGTGGGGTGAACAACGTCGTCTTCCTCGGCTCTACTGGAATGCGGCCTGAAATAAAAAATTCGGAGAGATATTTAGTGATTGGCGAAAAGAATACTTTTTCTTCCTATTACCTTTACTTCCGGTTTCTGCTCTTTTGTCTCGTATTACCATAGC